AAGTGTTTCACAGGAGCTTCTGAAAATATCTGCCATTTGCTGTTGTGATTCTATTTGTCTTCCTTATGATGTTTTGGTATCATGTGTGTAATTCATCTACATCATGGGAACATCTACCTAACAATATTTCTAGTAGAATTTGACACTGTGTAAACAACAAGCAACAAATTGTCTCTACATGTTGTAAGAAGCTTTATTTAAGAATATGTTTTTCTCTTAGATAATTTGCACAATATCTCAGTTACTAGCGAGTATCTTAAAGTTCACTGAGCTTTGCATGTGAGGCATTTGGCTTTCAGCGGCAGAAATGGTTATAAGACCAATTTTGTAAAACCTCATTAAATTCAGAATCCAAGGAACCAAAGAAAACTTTAATTAGCCAGTTTGGATTCTCTAATATTTTGTTTGATAATATTAGAAATTTTATTTGTCTAGGGAATACTGGTTGTTTTGAACTAAGCAGTTTTCTGAACAAAGGCAGTAGTTTAATGAGGGGTTAGCTCCTGAAGGCTTGTTGCAAGTTTATAGAGAATTGCCATTAGGGAATGCTCAGTGAAAACTATAATTTAGCAAACACAAGACAAGGAGAATTTTCAAATTCATTCAGAAATGTCTCTTGAACAGTGAATTTATTTAAATGTTTGTTACAGACTTTGGTTTCTCCCAACTAACTGCGGAGAAAGTTGAGGTGGAAAATCAGTGAACTGTCCCTTGCAAATTCATATATAAAATCATAACTTAAAAAAGAATTATTTAGCTCTCTCCAACACAAATGAAGCTAATGCAAAACACAATAACTTAGGTAAATTGAATAAAATATAGGCAAATCTCCCATTATATTAACCATGGAACAAATGAATTTAACTCTATTTTCAGAAGAACTTGAGCTTTGACTATTAGAAGACTCCTTTTCATGTTCACTTAGGTTTATTGTTCTCTTTGGATGTGTAGAACTCTCCTACAGACAATTTTTTTATTGGTTAGTAGAGAAATGATGATGTAAACCCAAGTACATCTATTATTTAGAACAAGGGCAGGGATCACCAACTGCTCATATCTGAGAATAGATGCACTTAGATATTTTTTTTTATTTGGCTGTCAAATGCTATAAAATTTCCTGCTAGGGCAACTTTCCTTGTGCCCCAAGGATTTTGGAAAGCTGGGTTTTAATTTTTAATCAGTTCTAGAAAATTTTCCATTTTTTCTAGACATAGTTGTCATTAAGGAATGTGTTTAGTTTCCATGAGTTCCTGTGCTTTAAGTACTTGATGTTGATGTCGCTATCCAACTTTGCTTCATTGTGTTTGTGTAGAAGTCAGATTGTGGTTCAATTTTTCCATTTTCTTTTTTTTTTTTTTTTTGAGATTTTCTTTGGATATTTGTAAGTAGTTCTTTGTTGAACATCATTTTATGACTTGCCTGTATTTGAAAACAGAAAATATTACCATTAATGGTCTATCATTTGTGTAATCCTGTAAAACATAAGGATATGTTTGTTCTTTGAAACTGGTTGGATTTTTTTGTCGAATAATAGGGTCAGTAACCTAAATGTGTTTACTTAGTGTTATCATGGTGTTACCCTTATTGAATTAGAGAAGACCTTAGTGCTCTTAATAGATGGATAGATGTTACTGTACATTGGATAAATATTCCCCAAAGGCCCGTGTGTTAAAGCCGGCATCATTAGCATGTTGCCATTGGTGGTTGTATAACCTTTAAATGGCTGGGTCATTGGAGTAGCACCATTGAAGGTAGTATTGAGGTCTAAGCCAATTTCTTATCTTTGTGTCATAAAGTAAGCAACTACCTCTACCATGTGTTCATTGCAAGGTATAGCACTGGCCCAAAAATGATTGTCTAATAGAACAAAAAGCAATTTAAGGAAGGAAAGAAAGGGTTTTTGTTTGTTTCCTACTGTTTTATTTATATATTTGTTTGTTTTCTTATTTCCTTGGCTTATTGCCTGAGGCGATACAGTTCATCATGATTAAAAAGACCTGGCATCAGCAGAGGAAGGCTGCTGGTCTTATTGCATCTGTGATCAGGAAGCAGAAAGTGAAAAGGGTCAAGCTATAAAATCTCACTACCCACCCCCATTGTGATTCACTTCCTTCAGGAAATCTTCTTATCCTAAACATTCCACAACCTTCCCAAAACAACTGGGACCAAGTTTCAGACACATGAGCCTATGAGGGATATTTCACATTCAAGCCACAACAGTTATGTCAAATATTTTGTCACAGTGGTTGAAAGCTAATAAACTGTGTATATGAAACACTTAGTTTTTTAGTAGGTGCTTAAAATCTGACTATTCACACAGGGGAATTAATGAAATAATCGATACACCCAGCAGCAAGATAGAATTATTTAGTGTGTTTCCACTACACAATTTTAAAATATAGTTTTTAAATATTTCAGCATTTTCTTTCAACTTACAAAACATTTTTAATGAATTATATCTTGCCAGTCATGGATTATCCATCTGTGATCTAATATTTTAAGGGCAGAGGGAGGAAGATCACTTCCAGTTTGAAGCCATTCTGGTCTACATAGCAAGTTCTAGGCCAGCTAGGGCCATATAGTAATGTATTATCTTAAATAAATAAATAAAATAATTAACTCATTCTGCTGTTTTTCTTAATTTTAACAAGTAAATAGTTAGGTATTTTATAAGTAATTAGTTTTATAACAAAATTAAGAAAGAATATTATATTCATGAATTTTTAACTAATCATCATTTAAAGAATGTGCACCAAACCAAATATAAAAGAAAAGGAAATAATGACTATCTGCCATGAATAACTTTAGCTAATGCCAATAAATTGGAGAACAATGAATAAATCTACTGAACAATGAAATAAACTTTGTTCTAAGAAGAAAAGCTAGCCAGAGGTCAACTTCAAGAGGGTCCAGCATCCTAAATTCGAGCAACTTTGTCAAGATGAGGAAAAGCAGGAAACCTGTGTTTTCTGGTTTAGAGTTACTTCACTAAGAACACTGGTGCTATGAAGGAGCCCAGTGTTGCTGTGTGCTCTCATGATTAGGAACCTGGTTGTCCACGTGACACTCCTCACTATACTCTCACAAGACTGTAGTGCCCTTCGACAATGCTAAACCAAATACCTAGCGTATAACTATCTATTAAGACTGTATTCTTAAGTGCATGCATGAATGAATGGTTTTAAGAGTATCTCTGAATGCTAATGTGTGTGATATGGATGCATCCAGAGCATATTGAAATAGGGAAGGATGCTCTTGTCTGACTAGAAGAGCTAGAACCATGCATTCTCAGAAAGAAACCTGCCTTTAAGTTCTAACTCAAAACCTAAATTTAAGTGAGGGATCCAAGAAGAAGAGAAACCCATTATGTGTGTTAAGAGAATGGAGTGACTTTCCATGACACCTACCACACGAGACTATTAAAGAAAAACCTGTGGTAGAACCCTCATGTGAGTGTCAATGTTTTGGATACCAACTGTTGAATACAGGAGTCACACAAAGTTACTGAAAACACTATGTCTTCAACTACGTGGGAATTCAAACTGGAGATGATAAAAATGGGATGAAAGGAAGGAAAGATTTTAAATCGCCCCAAATTATGAAATTACTCAGCTGTGAATGTATGCTATCCTACAAAATATCTGATTATTTAGGGGCAGTTCTTGTTCTGATAGCATTAAAGTAAAGAGCAATATGATTATATCAGAGAACAGATATATAGGACAATAGGATAGGTCTTTAAACCAGAGGAATATTTCAGTTATCAAAATCCAGCATCATCACCCTATGGATCTGGGTTATGAAATGCTTATGAAAGAGACTCCTTTTTACCTATCATCCCAGCCCCCATTTTAGAAGGTAATTGGCATACTTGTTGTATTACTCTCTTTCCATAATTGAATTTTGGAAGTATTATTTTGTAGTTTCATGGGCCTTTATCTACTGATTCTGGGGGTCAGATGACAGAGAAAAACCCTATTGAATGCGATGGAGGTCAGATAATCAACATATCCTTCCCTTGATAAAGATAGGGTACCACAGGCTCTAGTGCTCAGGAGCTGATAAACCTGTAGGCCTGTAACCTGTGGTACCCTACCTTTACCAAGGTCACTAAGCTCCCACTCATAACTTGGGAAGGATATGTTGATTATCTGACCTCCATCACATTTAGTAGAGTTTCTCTCTGTCATTTGACTTTCAGAACCAGTAGACAAAGCTAAATTTGTTGCATTTTAAGTCATCTTGTTTGCAGTATTGAATGTGACCACTTCAGGGAATTAAAACAGGTAATTAACCTAATTTGGGCTTAGTTCACTTACGCATGTTTATATCTTTTTTTTTTTTTTTGCGGGGGGGCTTCATATTAAGCTTGTAGTTTTATTCAGGTTTGATTTTTAACAAATGTGTCAGGGAGAGAGCCTCAGGAAAGGATGAAGCCCATGGGGGCAAGGCCCTCCCAGATGCCTTAGGAGGGATCGTGTCTGCTTCCCCCCTCCCCTTCTCACCACCACTAAAGGGGCTTAGGGAAGAGACATAGGCAGGGAAGGAAGGGGGGCTGGTCCCCAGTCTGTACAAGTGGTGCTTGGGGGTGACAGACCACGGAGAACAGGGGACCAGACAAGGAGAGCGGGAGAAAGGGCACAAGACCATTTGCCAGAATCCACAGCTTTCTGATTCCAAATTGAATTAAAAAGAAAAAAAGGAGAGGTGGGGGACCTAAACCACAAGCAATACCCAATTCCCTTTCCCCCACCAGGGCTGTGAGGGAAGAGGCAGGTAGTAGCTTCACCAAGGCCATGGCTCCCTCATTCCTGGCCAAGGGAGCTAGGTGAAGGGCAGGGTCTCCCCGACAGTTTGAAGGGGTGAGGAAAGCCAACATAAAACGTCAAATAAATTGTATAGGAGTCCAGCCAAGGGCCCAGCCAGAGCGGAACCCAGCTGGGGGAGGGGCATCTGTAGGCTCAAGGATCGCTGCTGCCACCACTGCCACCTTGAGGGACAGTTATTTTGCCATGGCCTTGACTGCAACAGCTGCCTCCTCTGTCATGGCAGACAGCACCGTGATCAGGATCTCTTCTCTACAGTCATACTTCTGCTCAATCTCCTTGCCAAGGTCTCCCTCAGGCAGACCAAGGTCCTCTCGTACCTCCCCACTGTCCTGGAGCAGGGATAGGTACCCATCCTGGATGCCAATCAGCTGGAAATCATTCCTTTTAATGTTGGGGACATCCATATTATGAGT